TGCTCTGAAAAGAGCTGTTTTTGACAGGGTAAAAAAGGTGTTTTTTACACTACCATTGAAAAATTTTAACCAAACTATGTTACAGACTTTTCATTAAGACCCTAAAGAATCATATCAACTTGTGGAAAATGGGCATCCTATGACCCCTTTAAAAATCCATTAATTTGTGAAAGGTTTTTCTCAAAAAGGGTGCCTATGCTATCTTTATTTATATTAAATACTTGGCTTGATATTTTGTTGTATAATGCAGTGGTTTTTGGAGCAATTTCAGGTATTTTATAGCTGTAAACAAAAATAAATATTGTATTTTATAACAGTTGAAGCCACTTCAGAACAGCCTTTTAACAGTATCATGGTCTGTTTGGAATTCCTCGAAGCTGACTGTCTAATTTGCGGCTGACTGGCTTCCTCTAAATTATCATTTGTCTGTGTGATCTAGACTATTTTGGATTCTTAGGGGACGTTATTGTGCATTTTTTATGTATATGTTATTTAAAACCTATTTTTAGTGTTTGCATTTTAGCCAGAGCATCCAGAGATTCAAAAGATTGTTTCAAATGCATTTGAATGTCTTTTTGTCTTTTTACTGCAAAGCCACATAGATAGTTTTCCTTAGTTCCCCAAATACTCGAAATGAGGAGTTCATATACACCATTAAGGAGATGCATAGTTACTGTATGTGTTCAGGAGCTCTTAAAAAGATGGAAAATGTCTCTATTTCATGAACCTCGGCCAATGAATCATTATAGGTCATCATACACTTCCCATGCTGCGGCCAAAAAGACTTTTGCAAGAATCTGCTTATGCAAGTCGGAATATGTAGTTTTGAAACCTGGCAGCGTATATGAGCACACACACAAATCCTGATGGATATATGAAGTGTCAGAGAATGATCCATTATTACAGACTCCAGTGTTTCTTGGGGTCATATGTGTGATGTTGTTCTGCTGGTCGTCTGTACAGCAGTTTCAGTGCATTGTCACATGAAGTAATGACAAATGTTTACAAAGTTCTGAAAAAAGGGAAATCAATCCCATATGTGGCCACTGGGCCGCTGGCCTACTTGTTTTTAACTGTGTGAGGGATGTGGAAGTTTTATCATTGTGCCAGTGAAAAATGTACCATATGGATCAGTGAGGCCCTGATGGGAATTTCATACTGAACTGCGGTGTTTGTTTTTGTCTCTCTGATTCATTTTGATTTAATATCATTGCGATATGTACCACATTTTATGTTAATTTGATCTGAGCTGCACCATTTGTACTGCAAACCAGGCTGTAACCACCATATAATATATAATTATAAATGGCTAAACCAGGCTGTAACCACCATATAATATATAATTATAAATGGCCAAATTACTGCTGTTTGTTATTAGAATGCCAAAAAGTTTTAAAAGTAAATTTTTTAGGGCTTCCAAACTTTTAAAATGCTGTTTTGATCACAAAGTGGCTTTAACTGTTGTAAAATACATATTTATTTTTGCCTGAAATTTACTTGGACCACTGCATTATAAAACAAAATATCAAGCCAAGTGGTATTTAATATAAAGAAAGATAGCATAAGCATTAATTCCTTTAAACAAAAAGACCAAACACCTAGCAACGCCATAGCAACTGCATAGAAACATGCTAAATACCACTCTGAACACCTTAAAAACCACATAGCTTGTGGCGGCAAGTTTTTGATGATGCTGTAATAAGGCTGAATGTGATTGCATTGCTTTGATCTGCTTTGTTTGTATTACTTCTCTCCTTCATCTGTGTTGTAACAATCATCCACATCTGAACTCTGACACCGATTCACAGCAGATGGTGAAATGTAAGCAGTCTGTGACGGGACAGAAAAAAAAAATTAATAATTGATGCATTTAGCAGACGCTTTTATCCAAAGCGACTTACAGTGCATTTAGGCTATACATTTTTTACCAGTATGAAAACAAGCAAGCATCTGAGAATTCACGTGTGCGTCCTGCTTGTTTGAGAGAATAGCAATGATTTCAACTAATGAGCTCTCTGCATGTGCATTAAACTGAATGAGTGACTCATACCTCCTTAGACATGAGTCCTCAGCATGCTGAAGTTAAGCTCCAAAAACACACTCCCGCTGGCTGTTCCTCATTCTGACTGATGAAAAATCCTCTCTTGACAGAAAGCCATTTTATTTACACTAAATGTCGCTTAATATTAAAGTCTACCAGCTCACTAAACACAAGTAATCCTCAGTGGATGAAAAAGCTGCCATTTATCTTTTCCAGTGCTTTTAAATGATTGTGGGCTCAGACAATTTACTGAAAGCAAATGTGTAAAATACAGTACTTCTCTTCATCTTTGTAATTATGACATTCATATCAGGTTCGTGCCGTAAGTTCTTGATACACTTCAGAAATAGCTCACTCTGCACATTTAGACTGTGGATGATATCTTACTCTTCTCAGATGAGAAATTAAATTAAAAAAGCCTGATTTTACAACTTATAGTGGTCCCAAAAAGTATTTGGAGACTAAAGTCACACCTAAAATCTCTGAATCAAAGTCATTATGTAAAAA